CCCCAAGCCTGTCTGCTAGGGTCACAGACAGCCTGCACCCCAAGCCTGACTGCTAGGGTCCTTGACAGCCTGCACCCCAAGCCTGTCTGCTAGGGTCACAGACAGCCTGCACCCCAAGCCTGACTGCTAGGGTCCTCAATAGCCTGCACCCCAAGCCTGACTTTAAGGCGCTGAGTTCAGGACCTCATTTCAACAGTAACCCACCGCCTCCCTCGACCCTCGACCCTCGGCGGCGGTACCTCAGCTCTGTCCTCTGCCCCCCACCTTCCTGACTCTTCAGCAGCTTTGCACCCCTCCGACTCCCCTCCCCCGCTGTTGGAGGAGCTCATTGAAGGGTGAGTGGTCGCGCCGTCCACTCCACTGAGCAAAGGAAGGAACCCCACCTCTCAGCGCCGGGGCCCAGCGCCCGCCTCCGACGAACCCAGCTCTGAAAACCCCACTGCCGCTTCCTGGCGAGCAGGTGCGGTGTCCGTGCACCTCCTGGGGGGGTCTGCCGCGGCGGCTCTGGCCAGTACTCACTTTCCCAAGTAGAGTTCCGACAAGTTCTTCAGGAGGCAAACCGAGGGCGGGATGGCGTCCAGGTGATTGTCATTCAGGCAAAGGACTTCCAGAGAGTCACTTAAAAAGGTCGGAAATTCCAGCACACACGCTGCAAGGAAAGGGCAGAGGACCGGACACTAGACACCGGGGCCGGCCCACCCCGGATGGAGGCCAGGGCTTGCGGGCCACGAGCAAGGGGCTCAGCTCATGCACCCAGGGGCCGGGCACAGGAGCGGCCCTCCAGAGGGCAGCGGGTGTCCCCAGGGTGGGTGAAGCAAGCAGGGGGCTGTCACAGAGCATGGGAGGGAGGGAGCTAAGGATGGGCTGAGAAAGAAAGGAATGGAATCAGGCGCTGGAGGCCTGATCTGGGGGCCACTCTAGGTGCAGGCGTGTGCAAGCACCCCGTACGTGCCCTGAGCACACACGCACCAGAACGCACGAGGACAGGCCTCTGCCCCGACACCATATGCACCGTGCACGTGACAGGACACAAGATGGGCGTGCGGACGTGTGATCGCGCATGGCAGACGGACACCGTCACCAGACACACGTCGCCCTTCACAGCCGTCTCTGTGGAGGGGATGAGCAGCATGTTGACTACCTTTTCCAGACCCTTTGGAATGGTTCAAAACTTTTGTTGGCCAAGAACATACATTACTTCTTCAACTGAAAAAGGTAGCAACTGGGGCCCTCCCTGGTGGCGCAGCGGGTTAAAGCACAGCACTGAGAAGCTAAAGCCGCTTCCGCATGAGTTCGATTCCTGCCTGCCCCGGAGGTGACCACAGGGCGCGGCAGACCTCTCCTGACCCGCCCGCTGCTCCCCTCAGCAGTGTACTTCGTCGATCTGCCTGTTCTGTTCCCCACTCTGTCTCTGGTGAAGCCTCTCACTGCCCCTGCACCTCTGGCCTGTAGCCCAGCTCTGTATGCATAAATAAATAAATCTGAAAACTGCTATGATTTGGTTTTTATGTTTCTACGCTTCCTGGGATGGCATCCTCTGAAAACAAGCCAACACTCTGGTCTCAGGTGATTTCAGGGGTTAGGCTAATCATGAGATTCCTACAATGCTCCAGTTACACCTACTGTCTCTGCGATGCCCCAGTGCATGGACTGAGAAGGGACTTACCTGGTGGGTGCAAGGGGGGCAGGTGGGAAATGGAGCTGCAGCATTAGGCAAAACTCCTTTTTGTTGTTGTTGTTTTTTTTTTTTAAAGGATTTATTTATGTATGCATACAGAACAGAGGTGCAGGGGATGAGAGGATTCACCAGAGACAGAGTGGGGAGCAGAACAGGCAGATCAGCTGAGATACACTGCTGAGGGGAGCAGAGGGTGAGACAAGAGAGGTCTGCTGCGCCGTGTGGGTCATTCCCTGGCCCGGGATCGAACTCATGCTGTAATGTCTGCCATAGCTTCATAGTGCTGCACTTTAACCTGCTGTGCCACCAGGGAGGGCCCTTTTGGCAAAATTTCTGAGGAGCTTCATCCTCCCTGCCAGAGCCTGTGGGGAGGGAGTCACAGGGTCCCTCCGTGGGGAACATTCGAGATAAATGTCCCCTCAAAGTCCTCCCTGCCAGTTCTCACCAGCACTGAGATGGTGAAGACAGGGTTCTTTCTGGAGCTGAAATGACAGTCCTCTGCCCTCAGTCCCACTGCCCCCAAAGCTCTGGCTCCCCCCACCCCACCCCTTCATAGAGCTGCAGTTTCAACGGCACTGCTGTAACCTGGTCCACAAAATGTTCAGGAAGAGACAGTCATGGAATACTGAAGCCGCGGCCACGTGAAGGGTCTTGAGGCAGAGGCCCGATGGATGTGGAGGGCACCGACTTTTAAAGATGGCTTTGTTCTTGACCTTGCTCCCTAAGAAAAGCCTCAAAAAGACTCCCTCTGTTTTCCCCAATGACTCCAACTTTAGCATGCCCTAATTCATATTCAAAGAACATCCACCAGAATGGCTCAGAGTCCTCCAGAGAGCACCTCTGTGCTTCCCCAAGGGTAAACTGGTGTGTCCCAAACCGCCACTAAGTGACGGAGGGACAGCTGTCAGCGGGGGGGCCTGTCACCCCCCCTGGCCTTGTCCCGACTCTGGAACACGGGCCGGGCGAGAGCCCAGTGCGAGGTATTTATGAACTGTAAGTATTTGTTCAAAACTTATTTATGACTCTGCTGGTCTGGATTTTACCGTAAAAATGTTCATCCAAATTATTTTTGGATGAGGCCTCTGCACAAATAGGACTATTCGAATGTACATAGGTCAACTTGGAATTTTACTGTCCGTCTGCAAACAAGTTACCTTTTATAGGTAAGTCCTTCCCCGAAGGTCTGAGGCCCAGAGAGAATAACGCCCCTGAGGCAGAGGGTGAGAAGGAGCCTCCTTCTTCTCACCTGGGCGTGGGCCTAAACCTTCTGGATGAATTTAAAGAATCAGGAGGCCCTGTCATAAGCCAGCTCGTCTTCCAGGGCAACTCCCAGGGGGTGGGGAGGAGGGGACAGGCCTGCTCCCGGAGGCCCCAGTTACCCCTCGGCCCAGAACACTCCCTCCACCTTGCTTCTCTTGTGCTCTGGGGGTTTCGCGAGGGAGTGGCTAGTTTCGCTGCCCCTCTGGCCACCTCCCCTGCCCATCGGCTACATCCCCAGGCAGAGACCACATACCGCCAAGACCCAGGCTGGGCCCCAGCGAGAAGGTGTTTGTTTCTCCCTCCTTCAAGTGAAATCCCTGTCTGGACTCAATTTCCAAAGACTGAAGGCCCTTGGTTCTAAAGAGGATTGGTTATGAAATTCCTAATTGCATTTCCTTTTGAGCCTGGTTCAGGCCCTTTCATCTGTGTCTTGTATCTGTGTCTTGGCCAGATGAATGAACTCTTTTCCTGAGAACTGTTCCTAACCATTGCCCTTTTTTTTTCCTTATTGGTCTGTCTTTTTTTATTAAACCAATTTGTAAGCAGTCTCTGTGTATTAGGGACTTATGCCAATGTATGTTGCAACAATTTGTGTTGCAAATAGTTCTTGCTGGTCTGTTTGCATTATGACTTGTTATGGTGCCTTCGACTGAGCAGACAGAGCTTTTCAGTTTTTGCAAAGCCCAAGATGTTGATCTTTTAAAAAATGACTTCTAGATTTTGCACTTAGCTTTCAAAGGTCCCAGTCAGATCCAAATCATACATATATTTTCCTCTTACATATAAGTCTGCCGTCAACTTGGAAATCCTGGAATTAGGTACGGCACCCAGCATGTGTTCTTCTTCTAGTTTCATAGGTCATTATACCAGCACTATTTGCTAAAACCAATTTTTTCCCCCAGTGAATTGAAATGCTGTTCTTGTTATATATCAAAGTTCTATATTTGTGCAGCTCTATTTTGGGACTGATCTGTCCACTGATGAGTTATTATTTTCAACCATATATAATTACACATGCTCACACATGGCTGACATGTAGGCCTGCCCCATGGACCCTGCCCCCCAACAGTTCATCAAAATGTGCATTAAGGGACACATAGCTCACCACCTGCAAATGTGCCTTGGCCGCTCTGGCATTTCTTATCCCTACTTCACACCATCCATTCTTGAGCATTTGCCCAGATAGAACTAGTGAGCTGAAGACGATCATATTACATTTTTAGCAGTATTAACCTTGCATTCTTTTTATGATACACCACCCCCAGGGATATTTCTGAGACCCGTTCATTTTATAAACGTTAACTTCCAGTTTAAAAGGATGGCTTGTTCTTGAATGTGTGTGCGTGTGTTGGGGGGCGGAGGTGTGTCTGCATCTCCCCTGTACCCAAGAACTTGTTTTCCTGGAAACAGTCTCAGCCAAACTAGCATGTGTGACCAGGACAAAAACTCCAGGCCAGAGATTGGGGGAGGCCCCAGAGCCCCTTCAGAATCAGTCTCCCTAGGGCAGCTTGTGGGGCCCTGGAAGGCTGGTGCCGGATCATTAGTCCGCAGAGTGGCAAGGACATCACAGAGCTGCCCCACCCTGTCCTGGTGCTGGGGTCCCACTGAGCTGCTGAGTCTGCTGCCACCCCGGGGCAGCCAGGCTACCCGGGGCTCCCCCAGCTCGAGCCCCCACGGATAGTACTAAAAAGATGGAGACTTTGGGAGGTGCTTAGGTCTAGATGAGGTTGTGGGGGGCCCCCCATGACGGGCTTTCATCTGTGAGGTTTCTAGGGCAATGTTCCCACGCCGCACCCACACAGTGGCTTCTAGTCTCATTGGTCAGCCAACAGGAAAGGGGGTTTCAGAACACTTGCAAGCCTCGTATGAGGTGAGAGCAGCAGGCACAATTCACGTCCAGGTTTTTCAGCCCAACACACACATCTCTGGCACCTCAAGGGCACTGCCGGGGAAAATCTTGGGGCGGAGCAGGGAAAAGCCACCGTGCGGTCTCAATCCCCAGCACCAACACACCTGTCTCAGTCCCAGAACGCTGGCGCCCTCTGGTGGTGAAAAAGGAAATCCGCTTTGTTTTAAGTCCCTCTTCATTTCTGTAGGCGGAAAAGGGGCAACATTGGAGGAAAGCGTGACAAAGACATTCCTGTTTCAGCTGCGACTGCAGAATGCCAACACATGCAGGGAGAAGGGAGAAAATTCCATTTGCTTCCCACGCCCCCTCCAGTTTACATGCAAGCACCAACAGCGCCTGCCTGCCAGCTGGACCCGTGGTGCTCAGAAGTCTTTTGGGGAAAAGCATCTGGAGAAGATGGTCTGACTCCAGCACGACTGGTGGTTTCTATTCTTGAGCGTTTCCACTTCAGGCAGGTGGGAACTTTTCCATGCCCAGAGAACAGAACTTTTCCAGGCAGTTCTGTTCATACTGCTCAGGGGTGCTGGTGCCCTTTGGGGCGTCATTTCTACTGAGATACTGGCCCTCCGCAGGGGACCCAGGCAGGCTGGGCCCCTAAGGGCCATCTGGACTCATACCCAGGTTCTCACCTTTTAGTAGAAAGCTTGGGGCTGGTACTTTTTATCCAATCTATATACATACATGTTTTATCCAAGCTATATACATTTATCCGATAAGCATACATTTATCCAGTCACTATATACACTGGTGACTGGCAAAAACTTTTGAACAGAATGACAGGTGAGGCTGAAGTGAGAAGATTCTTTGGGAGCCTTTGAACGTTAGAAAGCTGGAGAACATGTCTATAAGCTTAATTGCGTATCCCCCAAATTCATGGGCTGAAGTCCTAGCCCGCAGTGCCTGGAATCTAGCTATATTTGGAAGTAAGATCTTTGAAAAGGCAATTAAGTGAAAATGGGGTCACGTGGGTAGGCCCTAAACAATCCGGCTGCTGTCCTCTTAAGAGGAGCTCAGGACACACAGAGACCAAGTGAGGACAGAGGGCGAGGGCACCACCCCCCAGCCAAGGACGGGGCCCAGGCAGATGCACTCTGTCCCCACCGCCATCTCTGACTTGCAGCCTCCAGTCTTCAGGAAGGGAGTGTCGGCTGGCTCAACCCCCACCCCGGGGCCGCGGCACCTTGTATGGGCCCCAACAAGCCAGCACAGACTGGCTCAAGGGGCTGCTGCACGCCTGTACACACAGCTCAGAACCTGCCGGGACAGAGACCCCTCGCTTACCTGCCAAACTGGTTTCTGGAGAGATCCAGGGTTTTGAGCTGCCTGCAGGTCCACTTGTCGGGCGGTGGCAGGGCTGTCAGTTGGTTCCCCTGTAACCTCAGGAACAGGAGTGCCTGCAGGGGCGGGGCGGGGTGGGGAGGTGGGGGAGATAAGGACGCTGTCAGTACGAGAGGGGAGACATCCAGGGCAGTCAGTGCCCGAGCAGGGGCAGCCACAGCCAGAACCGACTCGGCCTCACAAGGATTCCAGGGGTTCCGGGGCCTCTTATTCCTCACGAAGCTACACCCAGCAGAGCAGATGGGACTTTGTGGGTGCTCGCACCTCGAAGTCAACGCAAGGCAGCTCTTGTAGAGTAAGGGGACTTCAAGCACCTCTCAGAGCCGAGGCCCCTGAAAGGGGATGACTCTAGGGTCCAGGGACAAGGCCTCCGGGGGCTGGCCTAGAAGATGGTGGGACCCAGCAAGTGGTACTAGGCCCAGTAGCACACTCTGCTGGCCGAGAGCTGGCCCTGATCCCCACCAGCTGGCCACCCTGGGGAGGCCCTGTGGAGGTCTGGCCGTGCCAGGGGTGGGGGCAAGGCAGAGCCCCGGGCTTGCGACAGGGCTCACTTTAAGGAGGGGACAGGGCTGTCATCTCTTGCTATCACCACGGGACTCTGCCTGTCCTGTCCACAGGGGTGGCGCTGGAGAATGGCCAGTCTGCCCCACTTTAAACTCCTTCTCCTCCCCAGGAAGGGGTCCCACGTCGCTCCCACTGGGCGACTCACCCACCCAGTGTCTGCTGGGCCCTGCATGTGCGAGGCTCCAGGACTGGAGCTCGGGGCTCCCAGTCGCCCCACCAGGAGCCTCCCTGTTGCCTCAACAGCCGACTGGCTCGAGGGCTGGGCAGGGGGTCTTCCCCTTCCTTAGCTGCTGTGGGTGCTGGGAGGCCAAGTGTGCAGATGTCGGGGTGAATGAAAAGGAGACAGGCTCAGAGCAGGCACCGACTGAGGGGCTCCCGGGAACAGGCTGGCGGAGGGCGTGACCCCGCGGCTGGGTTCTACCCAGCAGCATCCTGAGGGCGGCAGTGACGTCGCATGCTATCACCGCCAGAGGCCCCTCGAAACACATGCACCCCGGGCCCTTCCCTTGCCAGTGTTTGCCACAGGGCTGTAACTCGCGGCCACCTCCCCGAGAACAGGCACGCTGAAGCCTCAGCAAATGGGTAGCCCCCTTCTGGGGCTGGCCCTGAATGTGGCCCATGAATGTGGCCCATGCTCTGTCTTAAGGCGTTCCCACTTGCAGGGGGCAGGAAGAGAAAGACCTGCAGACAAGGTGAGGGGATAGCAGCCCCATGCTGTTGAGGGCGGGCACGTGGGCGCTTTCCCGAGCTCATGTCCAGAAGCTTCTATCCCTCCGGATACCAGTCTTCCCCTCTGGGGTGGGGCCCGCTCTGCCTCACTCCCTTGGCTTCGCACACCAGCAGCCTCAGGGGCCACCCATGAGCCCAGAGGGGCAGAGCCGGAGAAGTCAGGACAGAGGGCTGCGCTCACAACCTCATCGTTGAAGAAAGTCCCGCAGGGCAGCCCCCTCCCCCCATTCCACCACCCTCATCTGGTTGTTTTTTTTTCTGCCCATTTCCCCTCAATCTTTGTTCACAACCCTACGTATTTTTGACGGGTGAAATTTTCTTTCAACTTAAAAAGTTCCGTCTCAGAAGCTCAGGGCAGGCCACAGATTCCACTGCGGTGTGGAACAATTTTCTCACCACCGTTGGAAATGAGCTCTAAGTCCAAGAAAGTGCTGTTGGACTTACATCCAGCTGGAAAAGTCCCAGGGGAACTTCTTTGAGGGCATTTTCTGAGAAATCCACATCTTTCAGGTGATTCTTCCAAAAGACGGCCATTTTGTCTGGTAGAGATTCCAGTGCATTTTGGGAAGCTTTATAGCATTTCTAAGAGTTTGAGCAGAAAGGGAACAAGAGGTTAGTGAGATCTTTCCGTGATGCCCATAGGAAAGGCTGTTTCCAAATATGATGGTTAAAAACAAGGCCATCTTGATAAGTCTCTAAAGGAAAAGCAACTCAATTAGCTGAGAGGTTACAATGGCGACTGTCCTCTGTCCCCGCTCCGAGGGAGGGGTGGACCATCCAGGGAAAGAGAAAGGTGGCCTCTGGTCCTCTCCCCCTCCATTCTAAACATTTGCCTGCTGTCCTTGGAAAGAATAGTGCAATTCAGGACGGCTCCAGGGAGGAGCCGTTTCCCACACACATAAGTTTAAACTAGAAATGTTAACGCTGGTGAGAGAGAATTTCCTGGTTTAGACCCAACAGCCATAAAACACAAGCATTTTTTACGCTGTTCCATCTGTTTTCACAAGCCAACTTCCCCAGAAGCAGAAACGCCCTTAATTGAGGATGCCATGGAAACAGACTCTTTCTTCTTGTCTTCACTCTTACCCTACATCCATCATGAAGGAACCGAGACCCCATTTGGACCTGAACTCACCCCCTGCAAGCTCTAAGTGTGGAACGTTCTGTGGGATGCAGCTCTCCAGCCCAGAGCCAGGCGCTCAGGGCGCTCCACACGGGCCCTGCCACTCAGTGAGCCCCTGCGGAGAGGGAGATGCTCCGGAGAGGGGTAGGTGACATGGGAATTGACAGCCTGTCACCACATCTTCAGCGTGAAACTAACCAAAGGGCAGGCCCAGGCATCTGGAAACATCTTCAGGTGATTTCTGGAGACGTTCAGAGAGCTGAGTGACTTGAAAGAATGCAGGAATAGCGTTGGGAGCTCCGTCAGCTTATTGTCAGAAATATCGAGTTCCTGCAGCTTCCGCAAACCAATCCAGTTAGTGGCTGGGGGAGGGGAGAAGAGCACAGTTTGGTCAAGATATCCTGATCTGGAACAAAATGACTCAGGCAGGTTACTGAGGCGATCACATACCACTTTCTTCTTCGAACAGTTTTTCTAAATAATTTTTGGAAGCAGCCAGTTTTTGAAGCTTTGAGAGATGCAGGAGCCCTGGGGGTAGGTGGGACAGCTTGTTGCTGGAAATATCGATTTCGAGTAGCCTGTGGTTGGGGGAGGAAGTCAGGGCATCAGGAGAGAGAGGAACCGTGACATTATTGTCACACGCTTCTCTGCTAGCGAGGAGGGACAGACCCCTCCTTTTGCCACGACACCGACAGCCCACATTGAAAATGGAGCAGGGAGGTTTTATTCACTGGAGTAATGTTACCGCGTCCGATGTAGATAACAAAAGCAAATCTGTCTGTGGTGGGCCCTGGTCTTCCCGGCCCACACGGACGCACTTTCTTGTATATGAGACAGAGAAATGAGCTGAAGTTTCCGGACCAGATTCAGGCCCCGCTTGATGGTGCTAATTCTGCGCATTGTATGAAGGAGCAAAAGTCTCCTTCTCCGTGAGCGCCGGAGCCCATGTTCCTTGAATGCTCTAGGGCACATGCCTGGCAAGGATGCATCGTGAAGACGCTGGTGAGGGCATGTTCCTTGCCCTTCCCATGGGGCCTGGGGGCAACCTCCAGTCTCTTCCCATGGTCTCTGGGAGAAGGAAGAGGGGCTGGCCCACAGCCAGAGCCCTGTGGAGTGCACTTGGAGTGAAGGCTGTGGCTCTGGGCCCCAATGCATCCCCCAGCCCCGAGCATCCGCCCCTCCTCGGATTCCTGAGTGGGGGTGCCGTGCCGCCCCCATAGAGCAAGGTGGATGAGACCGAGCCACCCCCTGTACGCTGCGTCACCTGGAAGGAGGCAGAACCCGGAGCAGGGAGAACCTGCATCGGGCAGGCAGCATGGACTTGATTCTTGTTTTCAGAACCACAAAGGGCAGCCAGAGCGCCCTGTGGGGAGGACAGCGGGGTGAGTTGGGGTGCAGACTCCTACCCACACCTGGGGACCCACCTGGAGCAGATGATTTCGTCTGATGACTGCACACCTGGCAGTTCCCCCAGGTGGTTGTCTGAGAGGTTCAGCTTGCGAAGGTTGATGAGGCCCCAGGGGATGATGGAGGGGAGGGAGGCCAGGCAGTTGGCAGAAAGGTCCAGTTCTGTGATCTGCGAGGAGATGTCTATGAGCCAGTCCAGATCCACCCAGGGCAACTTGAGGTTGGACCATTTCACACGAAGAGGCTGGGTGTGGGGAAAAGGGCAAAAGCACACGTGGCCGTGAGCCCCGGCCAGGGCAGACTTGGGAGGAAGCACCGCTCAGTGGAGTGTGAGTCTGTCTGCTGGAGTCCTGAGCTGTCAGGGCGGGTCTGCCTAGTGGTCAGGCTGAGGAGGTATCTATCTGTTCCAGCGCACAGGTAATCCCGCACGGCGCCCGCTACTCACTCTCCAGCCTCTAGAGGGAGCCCGAGGGCTCAGTGTCTCTTACTGGGCTGATCGTGGCCAGGAAGCCTGCAGCCAGAGCAGCCCCTGCTCTGTACAGGGGGGGCCGCCCAAGGAGGGACAGAGGACACTGGAGGAAGAGGCTGAAGACCCGAACCTGGGCCTCCTCCCCTCCCTTTAGGACCCGCTCCCCGCTCCAGCCCCCAGCACCATGCCACAGCCCACATAGGTGCTCTATGAACGTGCTTCCAGAGTGAGCAAACGAATAGACAGAGAAGACAGGTACATTCTATCTAAGGATGGAACTTGACCCACAACCCGCCAGGAAATGGGCTCCTTTTACCATAAATCACCCAAGAAGCCAGACTTCTCTAAGTCAGGCTTGCGGAAGGCAGATACTATCTAAGTAACAATCCAGAAAGCCAAACGAGAACTCTGGCAACAGTCAGTCCCAAATGGCCAGGACTCCATGAAGAACTGACGGCTTTGCTCATCTTCGTCCCGTCCCCTAGCCGGCTCTCAGCTCCCGCAGCCTCCAGTCAGGGCTCACCTGCAGTCCCCCTTTACCCCATCAAGTTTCTTGGGGCTCTGCCTCTACCCCCAGAGTAGCAAACTTGGAGTGAACAGCTTTTACTGTCCTCATTTGTTGGCCTTTGTTTATTCTACAAGAGGGAGTCAGGCCCGCTGCTTGCTGGTTCTGGTATACTCTTCCATTGGACGGTGAAAGACACCTTGTTAAATGCACGAAGAACACTTTTCTTGATTGTCAAAGAGTTTGGGGCTCAATTTTATTTCTGGGGAAGGGAACTGGCTTCTTGGACTGTTTAGCCAAATCAACTGGAAATCTTTATCAGAAAAATCGAGAAGCAGGCATATAAACAAAAACAGGTGTTTCCCAAATGGGGAAATGTAAGGGGGGGTGGGGGTGGGGTGTAGGGATGGGGTTATGTTATATTTGTTTTTAAAATGGGCAGCAGCAGCACCAGACTCCCTTATCTTGCCACTAGATGGCGACATACATCTTTATTTCCTCCTGAGCTATACTCGGCAGGCAGGAAATTTGGGGACTGGTCTCTGCCAGGTCTTTGAACTAGGGTTTGTGTGTAAAGAATTCACCTGCCTGACTGCCTGTCCCTCCATTCACCTGGATAAAGAGGTTTGCTCACGGTGTGCTGGATTTTGGCTTATTTTTTCGACAAGCCTCACTTCTGCTGCGAGCCCACTTTCATGGTTGTTACTTATCTGGCTCATGATCTTTTATTTTAAAAACTTTGAAAAATGTAGTTCCAGTAAGATCATGTCCTTTACCTAGACACAGCAATTGCTAATATGCTCCCTTAGACTGGTACAAATACACACACTTTTTTTTGGTCTGAATCATTTGTAAGAAAGTTATAGCCACGTGGCACTACACCCCAAAATACACCAGCAAGTATCTCCGAGGAACAAGTATGTTTTCCTACGTGACAACCATGTAATTATCATTTCCAAGAAATGTAACACTGACACCACTCTTGTCAAATCTGGCTCCCGTGTCCAAATATTACTAATTACCCCAGTAAATGTCTTTTCCAACTACTTTGTCCTGATGCAGGATTCCATCAAGAATCACCTTGCCTGCAATGTTACGTCTCTTACTTTATCCTGAAAGAGTCTTCGTGCTTTTTAATGTCTTTTTTAACATGGGAATTACAATTTTTCAAGTCACTGCAGCTGTCAGGAAATAGCTCACAATCGGAATTTACTCCATGTTTTCTCATCTTTATATTCACCTTTCACATTTCGAACAAAAAACAAGCCCAAGTTGAGGCCTTTCCGCGGAAATCCACGAGGGGGCACCTGAGGCCAGGTTATTCCACTGATGAACAAGCAGGGTTGGCTTTAGGGCTCAAGGGAGTGTCAGCTCCTCCCCCAAAGGTACATTTTATCCTTCTTGATTAATAATCAGCCTGTGGGGTGACATTCTGGGACCAGTGAATTAAAAAGAATATCCCTCTTTTTAAGCACCAAGTACTGTAACTCATGATCATCATTTATGCTAGTGCTCAAGTTTCTCCCAACTTGGCCAGTGGCAATCCCCTCAAGTGACCTCCCATGTTTCCCAACATTTCACTGTCAGTTTGGGGTGCTTCTTTACTTCCCAGTAAAACCAGACATCCCATGTTCCTCTGGCTCTTTCTGTGTCCCAGTGTTGGGATCAGTGCAGATTCCCTTTAGCAGAAAATGATACTTAGGACCCAGATTTGGGTGCTGGGTGTGCTCATCGCAAGTGGGGAGTCCCAGCTTTTCAGCTCTGGGCAGGACGAGCGGTGTGCCATGGGGCACATGTGACGTTGCTCAGGGAGAGCCTGAAGAAGCTTCCTGGCTTCCTCCTAATCTTCCCATAATGCATAACTGCATCCAACGTCCCCTTGCTGTGCTGGCATTCATCTGTGAAATAAATGTTTGGACTCAATGATGCCGAAAACATTCCTGGACCCAGGATTATTTCTGGCTATGGTCGCCTAAAGGACAGTGGTCTCGCAGGGGTCCTGGGGTAGGAATGCCGATCACCCAGGAGCAGGCTTCAGAGGAGGTTGTCCGGTCCCTACAATGTCAAGGACTTGGTGCCTCCCTTTCTGGGTTCTCAGAGACACCTCAGGCCTCCGGCCCAGGGCCAGGTAGTGACACATGAAGCCAAGGTGTCCAGATTGCAAGCAGACCCTCTCCCTGAACCCAGCAGGGCCTGACTATCCCTCAATGTGACCTAGCTTAGACCTGAAAGAAGCAGCCACATGCAAGATGAAAAGGAGGTGGGCTTTGGTTTGCACTTTAAACAACAAATCTCAGGTGTCCACTGAAAGTCCTATAAACCAAGCTCTGTACAACCATCAAAAACAAAACAACAGAAAACAATCCCGCTGCCAGTGAGACGTGAGCCAATCACAGCTCAAGTGCAGTAGACAGTCTTTTGGGGAGTCAGCTTAGTTCTGCTTCCCCCACCGTCGCCATCTTCCCAGGAACCCTGCAGGCCCGCTGAGCCGGAGCTGGAGCTGGGGAAGGCGCTGGGACACTCAAGTGCCGTCTGCCTAACTAGTGCCATGAGGTGCGGGGCGGCGGGGCCCTTTCTAGGCTCATTCAGCTGGGCCACCCCTCTGTGGACCGGCCTGCCGGTTCTGGATGGACAGACTCACACCTGGGTGGCCTCCTCCGGCCCCGGACAGCCAGGAGTCACAGCGACACCTCTGCAGCGCCATAGCGAGCTTGGCACGAAGCATCACTGAGTAAACGTCACTAAGGAAATGAGGAGAACCCGGCTTGGGGGCTGCTCGGCACCCACTCAAACACCTGACCACTGTGATCATCCTGAAGTGCCAGCGTCTTCTCACACCCTCCAGTCACCCTCCCCCCACCTGCCTTCGTACGGCTCCCCTCCACCTCCACCACTTGCCTGGATTGCCTCCTTGCCTGCCTGGATCGCCTCCTTGCCTGCCTGGATCGCCTCCTTGCCTGCCTGCATCACCTCCCCGCCTGCCTGCATCACCTCCCCACCTGCCTGCATCACCTCCCCGCCTGCCTGGATCGCCTCCTCGCCTGCCTGGATCACCTCCCCACCTGCCTGGATCACCTCCCTGCCTGCCTAGATCACCTCCTCACCTGCCTGGATCACCTCCTCACCTGCCTGGATCACCTCCCCGCCTGCCTGGATCACCTCCTCACCTGCCTGGATCACCTCCCCGCCTGCCTGGATCGCCTCCTCGCCTGCCTGGATCGCCTCCCCGCCTGCCTGGACAAACTCCCCGCCTCCCTAGCACAGGCTCACTGACCCAGACCTCCTTCCCGCCCTCTGCATTCCGGCTGGCAGGTGGCTTGGGTTACTGATTTCTCAGGAGCAGGGCTTGGGGGATGGGCACTCCTGGAACAGAGGGAGAGTTCAAGAACAAGGGAAAATTGCCCAGTAAAGCAAAAACTGCCTTGGGTCACAATGGAGAAGACTTGAGGTGGTGATGCTAAGTGGAATGAGATACCGAACAGAAAGCGCGTGGCAGATACCGAACGGCTTATCTGTGGACTAGAAATAACAGAAAACATACACTGGCAAAGACAGATGAGGCTTCATGGAAATGTGCTGGTTACAGAGTGACCGGGAGGCGGGGCGGGCAGGAGGGGAAGCGCATCGCTTGGGCTTGGCGGAGGGTGGCTGAGGCACGGCTCGCACAGGGAAGGCAGAAATCGCAGCCCCAGAGTTAAGCAGACAGGTCAGGTTCATTAAAAAGAGAACGGTGGTTTGAGAGGAAAACGTGCAAGAAATAAAATGCCTGCAGCTAAACTGCCACTCAACTTAACCCACAATAGGTAAGTCACTTAATTCACTGTTGAGAGAAGCTTCAGTTTCCTCAAGATTTTTTTTTTAAGATTTATTTATTTTTGCATACAGAACTGGGGTACAAGCTAGAGGTGTAGGGACGGTGAGAGGATTCACCAGAGACAGAGCGGGGAACAGAACAGGCAGATAGACAAAGTCCACTGCTGAGGGGAGAGTGGGCGGGTCAGGAGCGGTCTGCCGCGCCCTGTGGGTCACCTCCGGGTCAGGATCGAACTCGCACTGAAGAGGCTGTGGCCAGCTTGCAGTGCTGCGTCTTAACCCTTTGCACTACCAGGGAGGGCCTTCCCCAACTTTTTTTTTTTTAAAGATTTATTTATTTGTGCATACAGAACTGGGGTACAGGCCAGAGCTCAGGGGCAGCGAGAGGCTTCACCAGAGACAGAGTGGGGAACAGAACAGGCAGAACAACGAAGTACACTGCTGAGGGGAACAGTGG